CGTTTGGAATTATAGACCTTTATATCATATTTATTGTTGAGCTACCGTTGAATTTACAATATACGTTGATTGATATTCTTAAGATACAGGCAATAGTTCATTTGTATATTATCCATATTGTTTAATTGTTCAAAAAAGTACAAACCACGCGGTATAAATACTCTAGAAAACATGAAGTTTATAAGGAGACAAAACAAGAATCTAAAAAAGAAAGAATATCATAAACACAAACAGCAATTAGTCCACGTTTCTAGCCTCAAAATATTCTGCTTCATAAATTGGAAACATGCCTTATTTTCTACCTATTTCAAACTGGTGTCCAGCTGTACCTACGTTTTACTGGGATATGACGTCAGTTGTGTAATATACCCAGTATCTAAGATACTGCCATTGTTGCCTTAACTCCTCCTGGCACTTTCGGATATATTACGCAGAATTCCATCGCTTCTGATGTAATAGTTGTTACTCTTCCTATACCTGGCTTTTGTTGTTGTTTGATTTAGATTATCGTGTCCACGTTGCTCTCTCTGTAACTGTCCTCTTCTGTTGTCTGGCGAAGATTTTTTCCGATACTTTTAGTATTCTCGTTGTTGCTTTCCCTGCACGTGGACCTTTTTTCACTGTCTTTTCCAGAATTTAATTAATATCTTTGTTGATATCTTCTCCTTCAGTTATTCTGTTTCTCTTATAATTTTCCCTCTTCTTCCGTTTGAAAGCAAACTACTCTTACGTTGTGCAACCTGTTTGTGCATAATATGCTGGTCTTTTATATTATAATTATCTATTGTCCACAAAGATACCTCCCCTGTGTTATTGGTGTTCTTTTTAAAGCGGATTTAATTCTGTGCTTAAATAAGAATATTTTCTATGTTGACTTTGAATTCTATCTGATGTGTGACCTGTGGAATTTGACTTATTGAAATAATATTTATAAAGAGATTGAAAAATGTCAACAGGAGTAATAGTTTAGCGATTTTCCATTTTCTGTAACTCGAACTGTGGTAATCCAAACTATCACATATTTTCAATGGATGTGCTCTACTGGACCCTTACTTCACATACCAAATTTCAAAGCACTGCATCAAGAAATGCACGAGATATAACATCTCCAATTTTGATTGAATTTCTTCCTATTTTTTCTTCTTTGATAGAAAAACATACTTAACTTTCATGGATATTTTTCAAATTTGGTACACTGATAGATCACTACAACCTACAATTAGGTGTCAAATTTGGTCGAAATATAACCATATATGGAAAGTTATTCAAGAAAAACAGCTCAATTTTGACCATAATTTTTGCGCAAATTTCACGCAAAAAGTCACGTGAGCTATCGGTCTGAAAATTTTACTACAGCTTCACTTAAGAGAAAAAGTGCACTGTTTTTACTTTTTTGTCATTCGAATTAAAAATGGTTGATTTAGAGCAACAAAGTATAGGGTGAAAGCACGTGCAGATATAAAAGTATTGGCTATGCCAAGAAAACTAGATTAGTAGTTTCTGTCTCAAGTTTTCAAAATAATCATGCGGGTGGACGGTTATATTCATTGCCAACTTTTAAGCACAAATTAGCTAAATTTTATGGAATTCTCCTAATTAAAGAGTATATGGCGTCAAGTGATATTAGCAGAGATAATCATGCTTGATACAGCTGTACCGATTGCATGCGGGCGATGACAAGAAACTGTTAATCTAGTTTCCATGGCGTTACTATAAGTTTTTAACACTGTTTTAGAAAGGAAAAACAACCACCATATACATTATAAAGAATTTGGTTGTTTCTGTAAGGTATAGGTATGTTCCGAATAATAAGGTTGCGATCTTAAAGCTAATATTGGTTACTATCGAATGTCACTTTTTCTTACTTGCTGTGGTTTGTATTGACAAAAAGTCATGATATCTAATCAAAAATACCTTAGGTGTGAAGAGAAGGTGCGGCCGAAAAAGGATTGAGCGAGCGACTAAAAGGAATGAAATCAAAATTGGCGGCCAAACTGGTAGCTACACGTATAACATTGATAAGAATTTTACAGCAAATATTCATTTATTAGTTAGCTAGGCAGCGTATTTTGTTTTACCCACAATCGTGCCCCAAGATGAATAAATACACTGCAGACCTGAATCCTGATATTTTGTATTTTATAAGTTTAACACCTGTATATATATTTTTTTTTCTTCAAAATTTTGGT